GCTATTGCCCCGGTGTGTACATATACCTATATGTATATACACGCGTATGGGTACTTGCTGCTGAACGCGTGTATAATAATATAATAATATTAGTATCTAAATCGAAATCGCTGCAGTAGAGGCGTGGAAAAATCGCCATTGCACACCCGGCGAAAATAATATAATATACATAATATAATAATAATATGTGCGCACAGGTACAATAAACACCGGCTTTCGGGGATATGTATTACAGTACTATATAATATAACGACGTATAGGTACACATATAGATTTTTTTCCCGTCCGAAGTACTATTATAAAATTCTTCGCAAATTATATATACATTCATCCGGTGATGTGGCATGATATTATATTATACGCACGCACCTGTGCTGTCTGCCGATCGAATAACAGCAGTGGATGGGTATACAGATTATCGAGGAGCGTTGAAATATAATCGTGTACCATGTTATGCGGCGTCGACGTCCCCGACGATGAAGGCCGTGACTTTGTTTTTCGGATATCCGACATGATGATGGTAATAGTATTATTATTGCAAGACCCGTCGACATTTGCCGTTCAACCCTACAATCGAATGATATCGAAAATGAAAAACTGTTAAAGGAAAATCGAAATTAAAAACCAGAACTATTGACTTTGAAAACTTCTTTATTAACGTGCTGTATAAAATATATACAATATATACAATATCATGTATATATTTACTCAATGATAATATGATGCATTATTGTTTTAAATTGTAGCACGGACCTGCTTTTTCGTCGCGGGGACACTAATTCCGCGTTATTAACATCTGCACAGTTACTAAAATACCAGTTGTATAGTGGCACCGGACAAGTATACGGCAAGTGGGGTAAACATACCAGAACTTTTGAAAAAAGGTTGGCCTCGGGACCGTGCTGCGCGGCTTGTCTCCTCCCCCCTTTAATCCAGGGTTAGGTTAGAGGGGGTAGAGGTGGTACCCAGGGTCACATAATATTATGTAGTTACCACCTATATTACATTCGTATAGATTGGTATGAAGTAAAAACATTCGATTGTACACACGACCCTTACCGCGTGTATATAATACCACGTTCGGCATAATTTATGTCATATATATATAAGTAGGTATACTGAGCTTTTAAATGATTTCCAAATAATTTTTTCCCTTATTACTTGAAGACCCAAAGCCTAAGGGCAGCTCGCGCATATCAATTATACAGACACAGGTACTACGGAATTATTGGCATGATATCACGTCGTTCGGTCTTGCGCGCGAGTTAATCATTTTACATGATTATTATTATTTTATGATGCAATAATACAGATAGACTAGGTAACGGTATTATGCCGTATCTTACAAAATAACAAAAACCGGGGAAGTCGCTTAGCTGTATCGAAGATTTCGAGTGGGACCTGTCGTCATCGAGTAGGTCACTGCGCAGTAATGGATGCGTTAAATTTCAATTCAAATTTAAACGATAAACATATTGCACAAGAAAAACGATTCTGAGGTTAGTGTCAGCCTCTATACTTAAATCGATAATTCTATACGTTTTTAACTACAAAATAATTTGCAAATGTTCGTGATTTGAACTTTAAACGCTTTCAAAAAAAAAAAAAAAAACTATTACTGTATTTTAGATGTTTTTTAATTTCTGTGAGAACAACGTATGTTGAGCGTTGTATTACATTTTTCATATGTTTGATTTACAATGTCTGCCGATCAAATAACATTATATACTATCGCGGAGCACTGAAAAACCATCTCGCACGATCGTATGTGCATCGATGTCGAGTGTCGACGTACCCAACGGAGAAGGCCGTGCAGACTTCGTTTTTCAGATATCCGATATTGTGACGTTCAACCATTGTATTATTTGCAGAACCCGTCAACATCTTCCGGTAAACCGTGTACATTTCTTGTACATGGAAAGCGAAAAAATGTTTCTGAAAAATTGAAACTGAAAATCAGAGTTTAATTCTGAAAACTTTATACGTGCCTTAAATTACCAGGCGGGTCGCACTTGGTTGCGGGGGCGTCGTCGGTGCTGTTCTGCATATAAGTAGGTACACGGTGCAGCTGCTGTGTCAGTACCACACAATATGTATAGGTGGTCTCGTGAATGGAAATTAGAAAACTGAAAAACACAATCATTTCGCTTACGCTTTTATATTATATAACGTCACGTCTATATGTTTAATCCGTCTAGTTTGAATGACGGTTGTCGGATATATTACACGTACATATTACACCTATTATATACCTCGGAGATCGTTGGTACGATTGACGTACCTAGTCCGCACCGACCTGTAATGATATGATCTCCGAGTCCTGCGTTTGTGTAATATTATAATATATAGTACGGTCAATCGCGTGCGGTTCTACACGCCACATCATCGTCTCCTTTCTGATTTTTCTGACCGGCGCGCGTCTCTATATTATATTAATTAGCATTATATATATATTTTTTCCTTTTATTTTTTTTTTTTTTGGTTCTCACCCATTGTGTTTTCGTACGGTTTTTTTCTCGACGAAAACCGTCGGCCCGTGCACACACACGCGCATTGCGGCTGTGTAAACCTATGGCGAAATGGTCGTTCGTTTTCGTTGTGCAGTGCATATAACATTTCGATTATATCGGCCGCAGTGCGCAACAACGACGAAAATCGAACGCGGGAACGGCTAGATAAAAAAAAAATAATAATAATAATAACAACATACAGCCTTGTTTTTAATTTTCAATCTCATTCGAATGTATATAATATTATCATTATTGTACTCGCTCGTTATTATTATGCCGACGCGTATATATACGCATAATGAAAAACACCGCAACTCCGAGCCTCGCGTATATCCTATAATATATTCTCGTTACCGAATGATTATTCGAATACACACATATATATATATATATATATATATAGCGAGTTAATCCTCTCGGTCCGCCCTATGGCCGTGACACTTTCCACCAGTGCGGGACGTATATAATATTATTATTATTAATCCGATCACTCGGAAAAATCGACCGAAACGCGACAAAATACTGTAGCGGTGGTGACTCGTTTGGATATGCAGTCTATATACGTAGTTTAGTCCATTAGCATGCAATACATATTTTTTCATTGGACGAGATGTGTGTTGGGGGGTATTGTCGTTTTACACGATTTCGACGCGTTAAAATATCACTCGAACAGAACTTTTCAAAACTAAACAATTTCAAGGACGACGTATATACCTATACGCTGTCGGGTCAATATTTATTATTTTCTTACATCGACCACCGCATGTATATTATTATTATTTACTAAATGCACTTAAAAACCCGTTTAAAACAATGTGTTCACGTAATACATTTATTGTAGTGAAAAATAACTTGTCCAGTCAGTTATAGTTAGCAAATTATAGTTATGTCAAAAGTTTTGAAAACAATTGACTTTGAATCCATTTCTATTGTATATTATCAACTTGTCAATGCTCAGACGTGTCTCGTTAAATATGGTATTGGATATGTTGGGAACTGGAGAGTACGTAAAAAAATCGTCTCGTGTAAGTATACCTACGATTAACAACAATATTTATACTCGCTGAAATCTTTTAAAATATCACGAAGAAAGAATTGCGTTTTAGTTTGAAAAGTTTCTATAAAATAAAGTTTCATCGAGTCTGCGAAAACATGAAATTTAATATTTCCGGTTGCGATATTATGTTTCAACAATATGTACATTGAGAAGAGAGATTAATAAAATGTCTTCACGTCTCAATTCTGCGCAGTTGTTGAGCACAGTTGATCGCCGGTAGCCGTTTTTAAGCGTTAACTATCTGCAGATAATGTCAATAAGTTCAATTAGTGTGGTCGGTGCTTTCTATATATATATGTATTATATACAATATGCGTTTTCTTTATACATACACCTTCATATAATACTTCTGAAATCACCATTATCCGCGACTATTCGCTCTCGGCTGGAGATCAGTACGTGATGGCTGTAGATAGGTATAATACCTAAGTATTTCACTATAATCGAATATTTTCACATCTTTACCACCTTAGTCATTGCCACTAATATGTCTATTGATTGGCGGATTTCGTCGTCTTTACGCACGGTAGGTATACCTTTATATTATGTATTAATATAATAATATAATGCCCATGTACATGAATGACCCCGCTTTCGAAAAAAGTGCGATCAATTATATATACCTACATATATTATACAGGCAGTAGCTGTTATATTGTATAGGCGCCTCGTGCGTATAGCGAGCGGTCGGTGGCAAATTACTTTTGAATTGGCGTGACAATCAATGTGTTATGTATTGATGGGGGGAGAAAAGAAGCGCTTTTTTTTCTAATTTAATATAAAGACATCGGGGCTGCGAACGGTGGCGACAACGGACGAATACGACGATATTCAGGCTAACGAAAACGATAATGGGAATTGAATTATGTAAAGTTGTATTACTACATCGGGACATATGCGCTGCTGCAGTGCTGTATACAATGGGATGCCAATTAAACTGGCCAGGTGAAAGTTGTATTATGATATATCCAGGATTATGAGAGAACTGCAGTTCACAAACCAAAACGACTCACGTTCTAATAATAATAATAACAACTACGCACGACGATACACACATAATACGAATGCACATACATAATAATATTAAATATAGCAGTATAGGTACGCATGTATAATATAAGTATAAATCGGTCAGCCCCCGTGCGTCGAGCGCGAAACTGACGAATGTTAACATAATATATTATAATATAATAATATGCTGTCGTGCCAATGCGATAATAATATATCCAAAACGAGTTTAGACCGCCCTGCTATTACCTATATTTTTTTGGGGAACACTCAACTTTAAAACGTTAACGCCCTGCGCCGAAATTTCACATTTTTTATCCGTCGAATCGTCTCGATTAAAAAATACATCGACAGTTAATGTTTCATTAATCATACATTCGTATGTATATTTACTAATCAGGTTATTGTATATGTTGTGTCTGCAGGGGTAGAAGCGGCCGATTGAGGAGTTTGCCCGCCTTGTACCAGGATGACGACGACGGTAACGATCTCAGCGACCTCGGTTTGAGCACGGGCAAGAAGAACTGCGTCGACGACTACGATGAAGAAGAGGTGCATCGGGATCACGTGGCGGAGGAGCATCGCAGTCGTTCGGCGGACGGCGGTGTTAAGGATCGAGTCCTGCACCAGTTTGGTAGCCGGACTGAAGACCTGCCTGAAGAGGACCACGAGGAGGAAGACGTGTTCCGTGGAGCCGAAGAACCCGTGGCTGTGGCCGTCAGAGTGGCGACGGTACAGACGATCGCCGCGGTCGCTCCAACGGTGACCGAACAGGCGGTGGCCGAAAACGGATACGACAGGGCTATCAAAGACTACGTTGATTTCGCCGAGTCCAAGCGGACTTCCGTGGCCAAGTGCGAAGAGCAGCCGCTGCCATGTCGTAAGCCCGCCGTGGCCGAGATAAGGCGTCGGATGTCGGCCCCCAAAATCGAGGAGAAAGTCATGTTGCTCAAGACCCGATCGCAGTCCACGAGAGACTTGAACGCCTCAGCCACCGGTGAACTGCCCAAGGTGGACATTGGTAAACGCCGAGAGATATTCGAGAAGATTTGTTCGGAGACGAAAGCTGCCGACGTGCAGCACACTATCGCGGCTAGACAACCATCGCTCGCGAAAAAAAAGTCTGTCAAAACGTCGCCGACGCCATCGCCACCGGCAAGTGTTGCCGCTACCACCACAGACGTTTCCCTGCAACAAGTGGTCGAAGATATTTCTCCGCCCGAGTCGCCGTTGCGAGGTAAGATTTTAAAACGTACGTTACACACGTGTTGTGACATGATTTTTAATAAATTGTAGATATATTTATCGGATTTATAATATATAGGCACCTAACTAATATTTTTTTAGTTTAAAGATAAACAATAATAAATGTAATGCAAGTATACACATATCTTTCATACAAATTTCACGGTGATTTTTGAAAATCGGGAATGGTTTATTCTACTCGTATAATTAGTTATGGCTTGTTTGGTTGCTCTGGGCCAATGCCGTTATTTTTTGTAAATATACCTACAAAACAATCTAAAAAATATATAGGTATATCGTATATTGTATATATATATATATATATATGGATGTGATAAATTCTATGTACAAATTACTATGACATTGCAGTGAATGAAAAGATTTTCATGTATTCGCATATTATTATTCGTCCTTCTGTTAACTCCGTAATAATAGTTATTTGGTACTTAGAAAAGTTAACAATCGCACTGTGATAAAATACACATAGGTACCCAAAAAAGGTGTTTTTCATCTGATAGTTTGAAATTCAACATCTATTATCAGTACTTGGTTGAAACGATGAGCTTTAAGACTTTATACATTTATTTTCATTTTGGTCGAAATTATATATTACATTCTCGTATTGTACTTAAATGCGATATCTATATCATATCATACTACTGTAATATTATATTATATGATGACACAATGTTATGTTGTCCGTAAGTTTAAAATGTGTTGTATGGCACTACGCATTTTTTCATAAATTCAACTTTTTAGAACATTTTTCATATTTTTAATACATTTTTCACAATAATTTATTCTTGAAGCGAAAATAGATTATAAGTGGTACAAATGGTATAAAGGGTTATAGGTGGTATATTTGCTATAAAAAATGTTATACTGGATAGTGGTACATTGGTAGTGGTAAGATAGTTTACGTTATTATATAGTATATAATATATACTATTCAACACTCGTGGATCATCATTTTCATATTTATATTTATTGACATTTGTATACAGAATAATTATACTATTTTAGTGTCTCTACAAAAATTCATCATTGCACGACTCGTTTCTATTATTATAATTTTAAACTATAAGAAATGTACATATTAAATTTATTTTTTGCGATTATTCAATCTTAAGAGCATTCAAATCTCAACGTTGATCATAATAAATAGTATATAATATTATGTATATTGTGTGTTGTGCGTATATTATTTAACTGTGTATTTTTTTTTCTAAGGAATAGATCCATCTAAGATTGTGGAGCCGCAAAGCGAACAGGAAGTGACTTACAGTAGCGAAGAAGAAATATTGCAGCACCGCGGTCTGGCGGTCGACTCGGAAGTGGAGGACGAAACGACGACAGCGTCGGCGGAGGAGGAGATGATGGCCGAGGAGGAAAAACCTATAGTAGCACTGGAGAAAGAACGCGTTTGCATGGTGGAGGACGAGTATCACCATCACCTGCAGCACATCCGTCACCATCAGCAGCTCTCGTCCCTTTCCGATCTGGTCAGCAGGCACTCGATCGACAGTTTGGACCAGGAGTGTGGTCACACGGTCGAAGACCCGGACGACGGTAACTACCCGGGTTCGTGTCTGAGCGCCGAAGACAGCGGCGTGCACACCGAGGACATGTCGAGTTGCGTGAGCCAAGCCGACGACGAGGAACGGTCCAACTTACAGCCCAGCCCCGTGCTTTTGCAGCAGCCGCCGAATGTCGTCCAACAGCACGTCGACGACACGTACAATATGGTGAGACTATGTTATACTATGTAACCTACAATAATATCTTGGGTACGAATTATATACTTGACACTGCAGTACTGCACTATACTGTAGGGCTGGTGGTATTTCAAATTTTCCTATACCGGTGTCCGATCACGTTAGTCACTTAGGAAAAATACCATATCATGGTAAATACCAAGAACCCTGTAAGATATCTTTATACTGGACCAGGAAAATAGTACATCTATTTTAATAATTATATTTTCATTATTCATTTTTGTATAAAAAAATATTTTGCAATGCTGTGGGGGAATAATTACTAAAATGATAAGATAATACCTTCTTCGAATGATCGGAATCCTAAAAATAGTTGTTTATATCCCGAGTATTAGGATATCAGATAAAAGGTGAACGGATTTATATTATAAATGTATACGGTATTTTCCGAAACAGTGGTAATTACTGAATTACGGTATACCGGTATTCTGAAATACAGTCATCAGCCTTACTATATTGCATACCGGTTCGGTATATTGCAGTACAGAGTGTGTCAAACTTGCCCCGGCATTCCTATACTGCAGGTTGCATTAGGTTATGGTTTACAACCAACGATCTTCACCCCAATGAAAGTCAGAAGAAGCAGATTTATAAATTTATGATGGATATTAAATTTTGCTGAGAAATTTTGAATTCAGCACGAGTTCTAGAGTGGTCCTAACTTTGCGTTGGTCTGGGTTTAAGGTTTCGGAAATGTGATATTATGATAGGAGCGATTCTTTCCTTTCCTTATTCTTTATTGTTGGCACACGCGACATACACAGTACCTATAACTGTATAAATAAAATACATCCAATTGAAATGTTCCTACCAATTATATTTTTATTTTATAGTTCACTACTATAGTTATGAATTTTTTCTACCTTTTGTGTATGTAATATTATTGATGGAAGGTGTGGACCGTGTTTCTATAATGAGGAAGACGCGAATCATGAGAGTTTGGAAAACCGCTGGATTAACATTGTAATATACGTATATATATATATATATTAGGTTCATATACCTAATGAGTAATGACGTACGTGCTTTGCAACCATATAATATAACAAAAACCGCCACCCGAGTTTATTACATGTTATTATACACCGCATCGCGTGGTTTAACGGATCGCTTACGAGATTTGATCGCAAACGATAATGTCCCGCCATCGATTGTCATTATTATATTTTAACCACAAATTCGTAGGATTTAGCATACTATATATAGTAGATCAGCAATATTTTTACGGACACATTAAGTATATATATATAATATATATATATGTGTTCGCTCGAATTGCCATCTCGCAGGTAGACTTGATAGTGATTTATATTGTTTTACATTTTTTCTTTTGTGATCAAATGAATTCTTAACCGCTCCTTTGTCCGGTGTTTTTAAGTACATTAAATCAGACTTTTGACTTGTGTCGATGTGCTTGTCTTCTTCAGGTACTCGAACTGACGCCCATCAACGCACTGGAACCCCCCAAAGAGAAACCACCTCCACCACCCGTAGACGCGTATCCAGACGACGATGGCCAGGTGCAATTACCGCTAGAACCCGTAAGTATTAATCATTATTTATCACCTATAATTTGATATCCATATATATATGGTACTGAATTCCGTGTATTATTGTTGCGTGCTGGTGCACAGGCTGTAGACAGCTTGGAGTCGGCCAAACGCATAAAGAAAGAAATGTGGATGAAACGTTCCAGTTTCCTTGGCCTGGAAGAATACACGAACGGCAACGCCAGCTACGAGCACGGTAAATCTGATGAAATGATTTAGATGAATTGTGAACAATCCCATTTAGCCGTGTATCTCATGCTTGTGGTGTATACTACGTGTTATAGATTTGGAAAATTTGAAGTCAAAACCGCCCGATTTGACGTCGTTCTTGGAGGAGGAACGTCGGCTGGAAAAACTGTTGTACAATCAGAATAAACCCGAACGGCAACCACACGACACTACCAGGGTTAGTGTGCTATATTTATATTACATAATAAAGTACAGGAAATATACAATATACACTTGAGTGCTTTACAGCCGTACAGGATGTTTCGGGGGTTTCCGTATAGCATTATAGAACAAAACAAAAAAAAGCCTTAGAATTCATTTTTATTTTTAAAATAATAATCTAAGAAATCTTTGATTAAGTTCCTGATTTAAAGTTATCATATGTAAGTGGGAAGTTACTCTTAAAAATATCACGTGTGCAAAAATTTCAATGAAATCTCCAATTAAATATCAATTTCAAGTTTCAAAAAAACGCAAATTTCGTTGTTTTGCGAACTTTGCAGTAAATGGAAACTTGAAAATTGCATGATGCACCTGCTATATAATATGTACACTTATACTTTATCGTGTCGTCAGTGCCGTATTTAAGAGGGGAATAAGAGGCGATTGCCCCGGGCAGCATTTTTTGGGAGCATCAAATTTCACACAAGTGTTGTACGTTTTGTACGGGTGAGAAAGATTGCCACTATAAAAAAACTGAGGGGGGAGGGAAGAAAGCATTAAATAAAATGTGTACCCGGGAGAGCAAAATCCTAACCACGCCACTGAGTGTCGTACATTTTACGTCTTAATCACGGTTATCTAGACACTTGTGTTCATAAAATAATGTAGCATATTATAAGTAATAATGTAGCATATAATATGATCTTTTGTTTAATTAAACAAAATTGCGTCTTTGCAGATTTACGAGAACGTTAACAACATTCCGTCGCAGAACGTCTACGTAGACGATGGTGGCGACAGCGAGAGCAGTCAGTACATGAGGGACATATTGCAGGTGGAAGAGCAGAGTCGATGTAATCAGTTGAAGAACAAAGCGGCTCAAAATAACATAGGTAAACGATGGTTAAAACTCCTTGACTTATGTATTAAATATGGTATCTGGAAAAAATACGCTTTACGGAAATAACAAGTCTTGCCCTATAGAATTAACCAAGTTAGGTTGTTATTATTTTTTTTTTTTAGAAGAAAATATTCAGTTTTTAAATATTTGAATCTTTAACATTATATTAATGTCTTTCAAAAAGACTTTTTTAAGCCTTTTAAAAATTATTTTATACCACTATAAGAAATAAAATATAAAAAGTTGCAGTTCAATGTGTCCTGTAGAAATTCTTCTTCTTTCGTATAAAAAATAGTTATCTAAGTCTGATCATTGTGTGAGGCCTGATAGTTGCTCCTCTAAATTAATTTTTTTTCTATAAAAAACCGTAGTACTTACTTCCTCCTATAACTAGGTATCGGGCATTCGGGCAGTATAATTTAATGGAAAAGTATTATAATTAAGGTGGGAACTAAAATATAAATGATATAATCGGCAACGGCCCCAAAATAATAACATAATATACTATAAACATTTGACAATCATACTCAAATAATGTAATAAATTGTTGTTAAAATTATTTTTAAAACAGCTATTTCCCATATTTGATTATTGGTTGGATTTTTCGAGCTACGCGTTAGTTTTTTAACCCTGGATTTTTACAGGTTGGATATTTTAATACCTACAGAATATTTTGACCTGAATTCACTAAATCTATAACCAATAGGACTGCCTGACCTAACCTACGCATGTCATATTATTATAATCGCTGCCCACTGGAATATTGAGTTATAGAAGAGGAATATTATATTCAACGTGACTTAACATATTAATATTGTTTGGTTTCTGTAGGCGAAAAACTAGTGAAAAAGTTAAAAGAACTTGAAGAGGATCTGAACAATCAAGAGTGCGCTCGGGTCGGATCGGCACACTGGTTGCCACCGCCTACTCGTCACTCCATGCAGGACATCTCGTCAACTGCCTCGGTCGCGAATGCTGGACCGCAACCACCGGCACTGGACCTCACTCAGTCCATGCCAAACTTGGAGGTGAGCACCGTTTGATAATATTTTGGTACACTTGGTACTTTTCCCGACGGTTTTGAAAATTGTCCACGTATCACTTTGACTTATCCTAAATTATAAATTGTATAACGACTGTTGGGCTTTTAGCAAACGCCCTAAACACCATATTAAGGTGATGCGCGTTACGAGTAATAGATAAGCCCTTATGTGTGCCGTGTGCGAAACTCTCTTATTATGATTCCTACATCTGCCAGAAGTTTATTATCAACTCGTAATACGTTGTGAATATTTGATGGAAACAAAAAATGTATTCAACTTACACAATATTAATACATTTTTCAGTTTTATAAATTGACCATTTAAAATATGCTCAATAAGCACGTAGAAACACATAAAACACTAAGTATTTTTAGTTATTTTATTTGGAATTTAGGTAAATTAAAAATTAAAGACTAAGAAGTCATTAATCTAATACAGTAATTATTACTAATAATGATATAATAAGCTACAGTCTTAATACTTATCAAATAATAACTCAACTGCACGTTTTGACAGTTGATAGGTAGGTACACATTGCACATCCCCAGTGTCACCAAAAAAAAAAAAAACAATTATTTGGTTGAATTCTCTTACCAAGGTCGACCCACCCAGGTGAGTCATCAAATCACAAAACGCGCTAAAATACTAATATACAATTTTCTCTCTTAATAATAAAAAAAAAACCAATAACATTTATACATATTACATATAGATTTTTACTAGAAAACGTATAGTGGTATAAAGTGACTTCGTCGTCTTATAATGATTTAAGAACATGAACTTGATCTATGTGACTACACGTATATTATATGCAAGTATTTACAGTAAAAGTATTAATATTATTAGATAAATTATTGTAAATTGTCCTCATCCTCATATTATAAAGTTACTACCTAAGTATATTGATATACTCAATAGTATACTTACTGCACAGGCAGAGGCCCTCAAAAAATATTTTCTATAGTCTCCACCTACGACAGTTATTATAATTTATTATAGCTTGCAATAATTTGTTTTTTTTTCAAATATTCATAAATTGAATTTTATTTTGTAAGTCATCAGTTTTTGTCTGCGCCAAGCCAAAAAATTAAGTTTTGAATATAGCGCCATGTAGGGTCTATTGACCCGTCGATGTAACTTGTAAATAGCGCCACGTAGGGTTTTGAAGCCCGTCATGCAGTACTTGTCTTTGTCGCCGCGTAGGGTCTCCAAAACCTTCATTTTACACGTTTTCTTATGGAATTCAAACAGAGCGTGGCCTGTAGGGTAAGTTTGTAAAATGTTTCATTGAAATACTCAGGCGTTGAAATTATATGGGCAAATGTATAAATAGAATATGTTTGGAAAATTTCTATCGTTATCGATTTGTAATCGCACTATTAATTCGTCCGTTTTAATAATAATAATCATTAATCATGATATTTATTACTGTGATAAATATGTGGTAAACAAATTATAATATTACGATACAAGTATACAACACAGTCGGTTGATGAAAGTGCTGCGTGATCGACATTTAAAATGGACGAACGTATATTTAATTGGCTGAATAACAGTGACTTTGAGTTTGATTCAGATGATAGTGAGGATGAGGTAAGAAATAATATAATCATTGTACTGTTTAAAAATATAGTAAAATAAAATAAAATATATTTATTTGTAAAATATATGTCGATGATTCCGATATTGATCCGGATTATTTCCCAAACCAACTGCACAACGAAGAACAATATATAGGGAATTGTGACAATGATGATATTGAAAATGATATTGACGAAAATGCTCAACTCACAGCCGATGAGTTTGAAGATGATGCTAATACGCCGAGCAATGAAATTACATGGGGACCAGTAACTGGTAATCTAAATATAATACCTTACAACCCCCTTAATTTAGACGTTGGTATCAATCCTGATATCACTGATTCTATGAAAGATTGCGCTCCAATAGATTTTTATACTTTATTTTTTGATGAAGATGTACTAGATTTTCTAGTTTCTGAGACCAATCGTTATGCACACCAAATAATAAATTCACGTTTATTATCAAAATGTTCTCGTTTGAAAAAATGGACTCCTATTGACCGTACCGAGATGAGAAACTTTTTAGGACTTATTATATGGATGGGATTAGTGAATATGCCTAGTTTAAGAGATTATTGGAGAACAGATTTTCTTTATAAAACTAGAGTTCCAGAAATAATGAGTCGTAATAGATTTGAGTTGATTCTAGGAATGTTTCATTGTGGAAATAATGAAATTATTGAGCACGGTAGACTAAGCAAAGTACAACACCTAGTCGATATGTTAGTAGCCAATTTCAATAAATGGTACATTCCTGAAGACAAAGTGTGTATTGACGAAAGTGTGGTTCCTTTTATAGGACGATTAGTCTTTAGACAATATCTTAAAAACAAAAAACATCGTTATGGAATTAAGATATTCAAACTATGTTCGAAAGATTTTTATACTTTGCGTTATAACATTTATGCTGGAAAAGAAGTAGTAAGAGAAACTGACGTATCTTATAAAATTGTATTAAAGTTGATGGAGCCGTATCTTAACTTTGGACGAACCTTGTATACTGACAATTGGTATTCGAGTGTTAAGTTGGCTGAAAAACTTAACCAAGAAAATACACATTTAGTGGGAACTCTGAGAGCCAATCGTAAAAATAACCCGGAGAATGTAGTTAAAAAAAAATTAAAAAAAGGAGAGATAATCGCTTCACAGAGCAACAACAATGTAGTTATTCTTAAATGGCGGGATAAACGTGACATTTTATTAATCACCACCAAACACTCTGACCAAATTATAGAAATACAAAAAAGGAACAAGATAATAAAAAAGCCACTCGTTGTCGAGGATTATAATACTGGAAAATCGTACATAGACCGTTCTGATCAAATGTCATCTTACAGTACACCTTTGAAGAAAACTATCAAATGGTATAAAAAAGTTGCCTTTGATATTCTTCTATCCACATCATCGGTCAATGCATTATCTTTATTTAAGTCTGTTACCAAAAATAAATCCATTACAATAACTACTTTCAAAGAAGAAATTATCAAGCAGTTACTATATAAACCAAATGTTCCTCAACCTATTTCACCAGGCTTAAAACACTCACTAGTTACAACATGACAAAAAAGAATGTGTAAGCCGTGTTATGCGCAGAAGTCGGAAAATCTTGGTAGATTAGAAGCTCAAAACAAAACAAGAAAAGTATTTACTTATTGTGAAGGATGTAAACTACAAATGTGTAGAGATTGCTTTATAAAAAAACACAAAAATGTATTGTAGATATTCTTTACAGTTATAACCATTTGGTTATATAATTTACATTATTTTATAATTCATATATTATGTTATTTAATTTTTTCAAAATAAAAAGTTCCTATTATTATTTATTATATCTGATGTATGAATGTGTAATTATTCCAAAAGTTAAATATTGTATTTTTACATAATTGTATATAGCACTAAAAATTGAATAAAGGATCTAATGACCCTACACTTGTCATTAACGCCACGTAGGGTTCTAAGATCCATCACATTTTTTATGCGTGCATTCAATTCAGGTAAAAAATTTAATAAATAGTTAATATGTGATAAAAAGTGATAATTGTCTTCCTTTTCGGTGAAATGTAAAAAATTATTTTGACAAACCTACTGAATTTGATAAGAATAGTTTTGACAAGTCGAATGAAAGGTCAACAGACCCTACGTGGCGCTTAACCTGTTAATCTTTCGTCTTATCCGGTACAAATAAAATTAATTTCACTGGAGATAGGTATTCAACAAAGCCAACGACTCAAGTAGGTATACTCGGCCACTTGGGTTATTAGACCCACTGCACATACTTGTGTATAGTATTGTGTACCTACATATATTATATATTTTTATACCTACGATTTAAAATGCAAAATATATTTACTTAATCATTAATCGCTGTCACATTTATGCGTTTACAGCAACAGCAGCCCGTCCACAGCACCAGTCAACACCATCAACCCGAAGATTTCACTTGGTGCGTATGATTTTCGTATTGTTTTTCTAGTGTTTTTACTTGTTATTAATTTAATACCTAGAGATTTCATTACTTAATACTTTAACTTGTTAAACGGCGCGAACACGATATACATGTATAAAGCCACGTTGCGTACAGAACACTATGTGCAACCTATACGTTTGATGCCTTGTGTTCGGTGTTTGCCTCGTACTAAAAACAAACGGCCAACACGCTCACGATTCAAACGAAAAACGAGTTAGTACTTGATACCGAGGTACTCGAAAAAATAAGTATATAATTTCACACGCGCGCGCTGCAGTCATATATTGTCCCATCTGAATATACTTTTGAAGTACGGTGGATGTTTAATTTATGAATCACAATTCGGTGATCACACTTGTTGTGTGTCGCGTGATCGTACATACCTAGGACCACCGCACGCCCGTACGCTTGAAATTCTCATAATAGTAAACCTAATCACTATATTCATTATAATATTATACAGATTGCCAGATTGGATCGAATCTATTGGACATAGGGAATCATCGTAATATGGTATTTCTGATTTCAGGTCTTCTCAGAACGGCTGTCCCAGACCGACCCAACAGAGCGTCTACGCCAAAAGAAAGCCGATTAACAGCCAGCCGGAAAAATATAACTACCAACACTGGCTAATTCAAGTAAGTCGAACCCAAGCTCTCCACACCAAATGCACTCTTGGTACAAATATATTCTATTGTTACTTTGTTTTTAGGAAGCAGAACACCGCCGTTTGGTTGACCGGTGTAACCGTCAAGTGCCGCCCGGCGCAATAGCGTCAAACCAACCGCGTTCGCGTACCAGACCGTCTCTTCCGCCTCCTCCACCACCGGCGCACAATAAAAAACCTCTGCCCGACTCAGTCATTAACACCCTGACTCAGCGCGTGCAAGATCGTTTGTCATTCAACGATTTTCACAGGTGATTTCAGTTTAATCCCGACAATACCAGGTGATCCATTTGACGTAAGACCATAGACCTTATACTGAGTAGTAGGTCTTAGTATAAGGTCTATGTGTATGACACTTATTACTTCAGAGACTATTAAAGTCTTTGAAAAAATATATTTTTTTTATATAAATTTCGGTTGTTAGTAAAAACAACATTTTTCTAAATATAATTTTTTTTTTACTATCATTTTTACATTTTTTCGCTTTTTGTGACAACATGAATTTTAAATTGCTGATTTCAAAGCAGCATGTAATTTAGAATATTTTATTCCAATATAACCTATTTATTATATTTTGTTTTTGATCTGACTTTGGACGAGTAGTTTATGAGTTAAGTTTAGATGAGTGGTGTGGATTGGTAAGGGGTAACCCGCAAAATATTGGTCCACTATTCTATCTAAACTTTAAATAGGTACTTATAAGTAAGAATTAATAAATTACTTTTCCAAAATTTGATTGTTATGATTAAAAATATTCAGAATAATATTCTACTTGAAATTCTGAAACTTAAAAGATATGCTGTTATTATAAAGATGAAAAAACTTTAAAAAATGATAAAAAAAATTGTAAAAATATAATTTTTTTTCTCAAAAATGTTTTATAACAACTTACAACTATGTAAAATGAATATTTTCAATAACGTAAGTGTTTTCTTTGACATTGAGTGTCTTGCGTTAAATAGATAACCAAGTGTACATACTTTTAGGAATAAATACACTCTACCAGGCCCTTCTGGAATTTCAATTTTTTTTATATGTTCATTAAATATTTATGCTAAATAGTAAATTCAAGTTTATTTTATATTATAGAAGTTAAATTAAATTTGATTTGTCCAAAAATGAAGGGTTTTAATTAAAAATTTCTAAAACTGCCCATCTTCAATTTAGGTCTTTGTCCACAATCTTTTTTGAGCTTTTGAGCTAAAAATAAGTATATTATCACATTTACAAAGAAAAATCTCGTAAAAATATAAAGCTTAAAATTAATATTAAAATAAATATTTATAATTTAACATATCAAATATTTATTAAAAAAAAAAAAATAGATTTCTAAATTTATCCTCAAAAATACACAAGGGCCCTTAACATAATGTATACAGCCTACTTTTGTCTCTAAAAAGACATTAAAACACCTATATTTATTATGAATTCTGTTGGGTGCGACTCTTATAGACACGATCACATCACCAGCGACGCTGCTCCACAAGAATCAATGTTGAGCGTCAGTGGCAAAAAGAAGTGTTCGCACTGTTCAGTGGAACTGGGTCGTGGTGCCGCCATGATAATTGAGAGCCTGCAGTTGTTTTATCATATTGAGTGCTTCAAGTGTTGCGTCTGTTGCGTGCAATTGGGCGACGGCTTAATGGGGACTGACGTACGAGTCAGGAACAAAAAGTTGCATTGTCACAATTGTTTTTCGAGTGATGATGGTACGTCTTGTTTGTTAAATGTTAATCACACCTACTTTTAATTATCCAGTAATCAAGTGGTCACCGTGATTATAATATTTTGCCATTGATGTGTTTGCAGGAGTAAAATTCAGTTGCGTATAGGATATACGTTAAGTGAAATAGTATTAAAACATATAAAATGCGAATTCAAGTGTTAAATCTTTAAAAAATATTTTATTTATGTATAATAATATAATATTTTATGATGTTATAAAGAGATAGAAGGAGAGAGAGAGAGTAAAATTGTATTTTGTTGTTGTTGTGTTTTTTTTTTTTTTTAAGTAATGTAAACAATTTATTTTTTCAATTTTTATTGATATCTATACTATCATATACTTACATATATAAAATAAAATATAATAAATGCAAGTATATTATTGTTGTTATTAGTAATAATATAATACAGTTAAATAGTAATTAAAAATTTTATTTTACCTATCGTTTTGCTTGAGGGCAATTTTGTTTTATTAGGGTTATTGCAATTTCTTTTTGGCCTGAAACAGATATTAAGAAAATATTGAAGAACAAGAATTAACTTTGAACAGTTTTGAATTTTCTTACCTAATCGTAAGTGAATGTATAGAGCCAATATGACAACGTGAACAGGTACTGAAACATGTTCAATTTTTGACAGCCATATCTGAAAGGGCCATAATATTATATTAGTCAATAAAATAATAATATTTAAATAGATTATATTCAAAATGCCAGATTTTTAAAAACAAAACATTTTTAATTGTTTGGTACATTTATGTAATTGAACTGTTTTACATGTATTTCAAGTGACATTTATTAGAAATAATTTATATTAAAATATGGCATTCTCCATATACTGTAATTTGATTAGAAAATGGGAAACAGAATTTTAGTAGTGGTCTTACTTGTTTAAGTAATTCTCCAGCTTTATCAAGATCGCCTCTTAATGTCAGTGCTACCGCTAAGTTATAATAAAGAACAGCCTTGGCAGATTTCTGTTTGTCCGGTTTCCATTGTTCAATTTTAAGCTGTTCGTGTATTTCAGGTTCAATATCATCAAAAGCATTGGACTCTTTTAGCATATCTATTGCTTCATTTGGTTTATCTGACAATATCAGTGCTTCAGCTGCATACAAATGGCCTAAAAATCTACAAACAAAAAATATTATAAATTGTAATGTAACAGGCTTACGTGTTATTTTAAACAGACAATAATAAAATCATATAAAACTGGCTAACTTACTTATGAACTTTATTGATTTTGTCAGACTTAAGTAACTCTTGTGAATACTTTAATGCAACCACTGGATCTCCTAGACATAAGGCTATATATGCTCCAGCTGATTGAATGCAGCCAAAAAGATAGTCTTTGTCTAATGTATTGATGGGTGTGTGTGAAGGTGAACAGTCAATAGTTTCATTTTGAAGTAATAAAACTGCATTACGAACACACAATGAGCCAAATTCGAGACTAGGCATTGGAATGGATGCAGAAACTGCTTCGCAACTGTTAAGTTTGAAAAATAATTAAATTCAACAATTTTAAAACACTCAATTTGTTTTAAACTTACCTGTACTTTGTGTCTGGAAACAACTGTGATTTCAAAATAATTTTCCTGTGTTTACCAGAGCCAACAACACCTTCAATATAAGGTTTCTTGAAATCAAAGTCTCTGTCGTTGCTCTAAAATAAAAATATACACATGCATTGCCATACTTAATGGTTTAATGTAAGCATGTCTATTTACTTTTTTGTGAGTCATAATACAACATTCTGCTAATCTTAACCATAGCCTTGGATTCATGTGATAAGTTTGTACAGCTTCAATTAGACAGTCAAATGCTTCTTCGGGTTTTCGAGCATGTAAGAGACTTATGCCCAAGTTGAACATAAGCTCAGTTTTAATGCTCGCACTAATTATATGAAGTGGCTGACCCGATAGACTACCTTCAGCTACTCAAAATCCAAAATTCATCATTGAATAAATAGTTTATCATTTATACGATTTACAAATGGTTTTACTCCATACCTTGATTAGGTTTTGTTACATCAAAGATGTTCTTTTGGTGTTGAACAATTGCTTTGTAAATAGATGTGAATGACAAGGTAGGTTTTTTCGCGTAATGGTACAAGCAAGCTACGTTGTTGTTTATTAAAACTGAAGAAGACTCTCCAGTCTCTCTATAACAGAAACATTGATGATTGATAAACAGTATAATTAGATTAAAATCTATAATGTCAAATATCCTTACAAAAAGTCGTCCTTCACAGGGATTCCTTTTAAAATTTCCAGTGCTTCTTTATGATTGCCACGGAGGTATTCTAATTTTCCTATTAAAAACATTGTTGTCGAGTCCTGGAAAAGTATACAAGAAAATGTATAAACAAAACTGTTTTACTTGTTTATAAATATAGTAAGCGAATACTTTACTTGTTTATCTTTGATTGTATTTAACTGTTGACTACACTCATCAAATAAATTTAGCTCCATTAAACACCTGACTCGATACTGAATGAGACTGACTCTAAATGCATCAGTAGCAGCATCTAAATTAGCTTTCTAAAAAATCGGAAAAATTAAGACATCATTATTTGAAAATTGGATTAATAAATAACCCTGTAATATTAATGTATACTATACTTTTTCTGTTTTTTCAGTTTCAGTGTGTATAGGACCCCCTTGATCTGCACTACCAGTCAATATATTAGTGGCATTATCTGTTGATACGAATTGACTTTCAATGTATGTAATCAATTTCAGTGCTTCTGCAGGTTTGTTAGTATCTATATGTAATTGCACTATTAGTAGGCATACTTTATGAGCCAAACTTTCCTCTATAACAAATTCAAAATTAACAAAATATTATATTGATTATTATATGCGCACAATAATTAAATATCGCGTGCAATAAATAATTACCTAGAGATTCTATAAATGAGTAGACTTTGTTTATCATAGCCAGTGCTTTGGTGTAGTGTTTCAAATGGTACAAAAACACGGCATAGTTATAATAGTAAATACAGTTTTCAACATCTTCTAAAGAATCCAACCGCTCTAAATTTAATTCCACCTGTAAACAATGGCATGATTGAAAAAGAAAACGAGCCAACTTAAACCAATTAAATAGTCATATGATAGTGCAAATTACCTGCTTACAGACATCTATAAACGACTTTTGAAACTTGTCGGCCGTGCACAGGCCGTTTTCGTAGAACTCAACAATGGCCTTATTGAGCAGTACCTTGGGATCGTTGGGCCTCGAATCTTCAATTCGCTGCAAATGTTCTAAGCAAGATTTGTAATTTTTTTTTTCATATTCAGCCAATGCTTGCTGAGCCCAATCACGTTCTTGGTCTGTTATATTGGCCGCGGTCCCTTTACTGCTCGGTTCCTGTTTGTCGGACATTCTTTCGCTTGTTGTGTAGCTATAGGTACTATGTAAAAAATGTACACACTCACTACAAAGCAGTACAACGCAACGTTGTCGTGTTACTTCGGAACTTAATTTAAGTATAAAAACGGTCGATAGTGTAATTTTTATCAAACGTTTCAAACGTTTCAAATTCCTGAATAAATCCAAATACTCTATACAACGAGATAGATAAACAATATTATTGTATTGTTTATCTCTCTCGATGACTATATGACAATACGGGACAGTGTATGATAAGAAACACGACGTAAATATGCCCCGCACAATCGTAGTAGTTGCCTATACATATTCTGCCAGGCGCCTTTTTTTTCTGTTTAAAGTGTTTAAACCGACAGCAGAGGATGATGCTCTGTGTGAACAATACTACTCCTCTGCTGACATCGTTTATTAATATTCACAACACTCAAGCTAATACAGATACATACTCAACAGTCAACACCACTACACCTAACCTCACAGAATTGTTATGTTATATTTGCTATTTTTTTTTAATAAAACCATGACCTTTAAAATTGTGATAGACCCAAAATTACGATAAATACAATTAATTCTTAAATGTATTGCCGTATTGGGGAAAAAAGTAACAAAGAATTGTTATAGTAAAATAATTATCCTTATATATAAGTTTCTTTCAATAAAAGTTGATTCAATTACTATAAACTACTTATAAAGTAATTGTTTTGTATTAACCTTTAAACTTAATGTTAGTTACTCTACGTCTTCGCGACATTGGTAATGTCATTGAAGATAAGTCACAATTACATATTAATGGATTCAAAACTTAACTATCAAAAAATTTAACTCAATTGATCATTTGTAGGAAATTTGTGAAATGTTAATTCCGGATTTTTCCTGCTGTTGTTTTTACAATTCCAAAAAGAAGAACTCTTGTGTGAAGTCATTTTATAATGGTTAGTATACAAAACAAAACACTTCAAATATAAAATGTTTGTAGTAAAATAATCATAAAGAGATATTAATAACAAAATAATAAATATCGAAAGATATAAATAATAAACAATATAAACAATACCATCCTCCCCACCATAATTAAAAGAAAAAACACAAAATCATGCATAAAGTATTTATTATTAGCTCAGATTTTTTGTATAATTATTCAATTAATAATTTAGGTTATTTCGAAAGTAATTCTCGAAACAGTATTTCGAATAAAGGAGGGATATTTGAGTAGAAATAGGAATTTATATAGGCAACTTATTTACACGATAGCCGGATAGGCAACCACTACGATTTCGGAAAGCCGTGTCGAAGTTTGTTATCATTGACTGTCCCGTATAATTGTCATAATAGAGTCACAGATATATAGAATAATATATAGCATTTATTCTATAGACATTG